CCCATAGAAACGCATCACTACACTAGACTTTATGTTTGGTTTCCCATAGAAATGCATCACTACATTAGACTTTGTGTTTGGTTTACAATAGAAATGCATCACAACACTAGACTTTGTGTTTGGTTTCCGATAGAAACGCATCACAACACTAGACTTTGTGTTTGGTTTCCCATAGAAATGCATCACAACACTAGACTTTGTGTTTGGTTTCCGATAGAAACGCATCACAACACTAGACTTTGTGTTTGGTTTCCCATAGAAATGCATCACAACACTAGAATTTGGGTCTGGTTTCCCATAGAAATGCATCACTATACTAGACTTTGTGTTTGGTTTCCCATAGAAATGCATCACTACACTAGACATTGTGTTTGGTTTCCCATAGAAATGCATCACAACACTAGACTTTGTGTTTGGTTTCCCATAGAAATGCATCACTATACTAGACTTTGTGTTTGGTTGGGTAGGAGTTTACCCAGGCATCTTTCTGGTTCAAAAATCAGTCCTTCTAAATTGTAATTGTATGACTAATATATCATGGTAATTTTTCAACCAATGTTATTCTGAGAACTGTGGTACAGATACACCCATAGTGAGTGAGTGTCAAACACGAACAGGTGTCCATCATAACATTATTATTGTGGTCTACAGGAAAAGATAATATAAAATAAAGATAATGTGCCTATATATCAAGCAAGTGTTTTTTTGTGAAAAAAAGACGAGATGCACATAGAACAGCATGCATGCGACACAATATTTTTATTTCAGTTTATTTAATCTGTGTAAATTAAATACGGGTACGGGTATGGATACAGTGTGGTATATATTGACACAACAACACTGGTTTCAAATATTGTGTTTTGATGCGAAATTACTGTAGCGTAAATACATTTCAAGTATGATAAAAAAAAAAATTGTATACATTGATGCATCAGGCACAGTTGTACGTATTTTTTTTAAAACCCAGAATGTGATTGTATTGTACACATTTTACATATATAAATAGCAATACAATAGTTAAAAGCACTGTACCAGGGTCGACTGTATAAGACAAATGTATTGCTTTAGTGCGTGTTTATATATTGGTCAATGTCACTCGCGCAATTGCCAGCGTGCATGACTCGGCAAAACGTCACTCGCGCAATATAAGCCCAGCTGTATTCTACTGACAATGGGACATGTACTGTTCACAGAGAACACCATGTAAAAATACGCAACTCAGTTTAATTACCAACCCTTACCCGTGAAGGGTATCCCACCGCAAGTTTTATAACCCATCCCCTTCTCGCGAAGGGTGCCCGAGCCTTGATCGTGTCTTCGCTGAGAAAAAAACCGACAAAACAAAAGTTTAACAGTGACACATTGACATATCGGCCACCAGTGAACATGAAATGCGACAAAATACCAGCTTCTTACTGACCTTGTGTGGATGACATGTTTCGACGTCCCACTGAGATGACTGAACTTGCTCAACCAAGAACACAACCCGCAAGTCACTGGTAAACATATGCCACCGTTGCACATGCGCACATCAACAGTCACTTCCTAAGTGACACCGTCAACAAGTAATGAACACACATTTTTCATTTTTGTTTATTTTGTTTTCTCCCTATCAGCGCTGTGTTTTTTTTTCTCTCTCTCTATTGTTGTTACTTTATTGTTCTCGATCTAAACCAAAATATCAACCGGGATACGGTTTCACTATAACGATAATTATTATTATTAGTACATGGCTTACATCAAATACACTATTTACTGGTGTTTTTGATTACACCATGGAGGTAAAATACGGTCTTTTACTTCCATGGTGTAACCAAACGCCATGAAGCCATGAGTACCCTGTTAAGACAGTGTCCGGGGGCAGTTGATACATAGCTGGGTAGGGAGGTGCCCATGAGTGCTCAAAAGCGTGACCATTTTTATACCTGGATAGTGGCAAAATCTATACCCATATTTATACCAAAGTACCATTTCTGTCATCACTGTTTATTCCAAGTAAAAAAATACCGTATTTGCTCTATTAGAAGAGCATGTCCAATACTCCTATTGACATACCTACAGTTAACTCAATTGTTGATATATAATAACATTAGAGTCAATTTATTTGTTGCAATCCTTTTAAATCAAGGGCTTACCGAGAGAACTTAACGCATACAGGCCGGGAATAAATCAATTAGGAATAGCAAAACACATGTTTGGAAATAATTACAACAACAAAAATGGTTCAAAATACACATAATATTTTCTTAGTTCAACTGTATCAATGATAAATTAAAAATACTATCTATTGTTCTACAAAGTTCATCATTGTATCCCTGGCTAGTGTCCCTCAAGAGAAAAACAGTTCATTTCTCTAGGAGACAATATTTCTGCGTGGAAAAATAGGGACCAACTTTAATTAAGATAGAACGCTACTGAACATTCAAAATACTGGGTAATGTAATTTCCTTTATTTTTACATATGTGACATTTCATGTACGCAAGATTAAAAATGAAATAAAAATGTGTGGTAAAATTGCTATATCATTATTTGAGTGAATTATACGTATTTCAATGGGAGTATGAATCGTACGTCCGAGTTCGCCAATGTTTTTGGTAGGTTAGGTCTGTTTTTTTTTTCTGCTACATTCTGTCACACAATATGCACTAACATTTTTACCAGAGGTTTGTCTTCGCCAAAAAAAGAACTCATTAAATGTTGACAGTGATTTGGAACACCGTCTCTGGACCCAGGAAATCTTTTTTTAGATTTTTTACCATTGCCTATTTTCGAAATTAATGTATATACTAAGTAACTACACAGCAATACTTGAAGTGTTAGTCAAAAAAAAAAAAAAAAAAAACAGAATACATTTTCTCTGCCTTTTGTTCCACTGAAGATTTGGGAAAAATCAGACAGTACGCCGCGCATCGACCTCCGCTGCGCGTCGGTCGATACTCCAGCTGTACTGTCTTCGGGACAACTAAATATCTAGTTTCGATATAATCACGAATACTTCGAACTTATAAAATCAATTCACTATGATGTTGTAAGATACTTTTATTAATGGAAATGTCAAAAGTAAATGGAACTGACAATATAAGGGATAACGCACGTAGACGACAGTCCCAATTCAAGTAATTTACAAATGAAATCGAGTTCCACACATTAGAAATAGTACAATTAACACGTGTAATGTGTTTCCGTAGGCGTTAATCTACAATATAGTAAATCTCTCAAAAACTTTATTTTCTATTGACAGCCTTCTTGTCATTGCGTCCTTACATTTTACTTCTCTAATTTATATGATAATCACAAATGAGTCACCAATAAATAAATTCAACAATAAAGTTGGACTTAGTGGTGTTTAAAGAGATACATATCACACCGACTGATAAAGCAACATCCAACAACTTGTGCAAGGACTACGTGAACTTACATATTTTCAGAGCTTGTCGTTACGATGTTATTAAAGCGAGAGGGGCTTTAGCCGCGCACGCGCAAGAATTGAGTCCCAGGCGATGATAACAACACACGCTAAAAACGCAAAGGCTCATGGTTAGACGCTTGTTTGTAAAAAAAAAAAAAAAAAAAAAAAAAAATGACACGCTATGGCCATCTGACGCATGCGCAGGTGACGACTCTCCTGCTTTAACTACTTTTCTGAAAGGGAGGAAAAGTTAGGGAAGTGATCCGTACATCTTCATCACAGGAACTAATATATTTGTATCGGTAGTTATACAATTATAGTTAATTAACACGCGGATAAATTGATTCATGCGATACATGCATGATTGGACAGGGAGAATGTTTCAAAAACTAGCACTGTTATTTTGTATTTCAATATACAAACTACAACATTTCAAACTCATATAAATCTGTGTAAGACATCACAGCCGAAAATAAATTCTCCGTTCGTGACTGTGAATGTATTTCGGAAGTCTGTAAGACGAAAAAAAAAACAATTATTGAAATGTTCGAATATTCGAACGCAGTTGAAATGAAGCCACTCTATATTGGGTTAAACTTACGGTGGACACATTATGTTTTATTTCCCGCAACACAGACTTGATTTCTCGAAACACAAATTTTATTTTACAAAACAATACTTTAATTTCTCGCAACGCAACCTTATTTCACGGAACAAAACTTAATTTACGAAACAATAATTTGGATTCTGGCAACAAAAACTTATTTTTTCCACAACACAAATTTAACATCACACAGCATAACCTTTATTGACATACGATAACTGTATTGCAAAATAACTTAAATTCACACAATATTGAATACTTCCACAAAAAATATCTCACAAACAAAAGTGGAATTCTCAAAATACCACTTTTATTACCAAACGCAAAAAAAAAATTTTCACAATATAACTTTTTTTGAAAACTTTTAAAAAAAAAACGACTTTATTTTTCCACGACACAAATATAATTTTTTAACAAGATGCAAAACTTTAGTATCAAAACCCCCCTTTAAGTTTTTTTTTATAAACAAGGTTGCCAGTCATAATTGTATTGCTTCTGTATACTGTGTCTCTTTCTCTCTCTCTTTATTTTCACGCTCTGCCCTCATAAATAGAGAGCCTCCAGTTAGTGGGAGTGGTTGCGTACTCTCAATTGATTCCAGTCAGGATGATAATGTTGATGTTGTAAAGTCAGCTTTGTTGAAGCGTCATGATATGAATGAAGTAGGTTATAGAAAGAGATTTCAAACTATTAAGCAGGCCTTACGCTGTGACGAGATATATTATACACTCACTTATTATGGCTGCACACATGATAGATTAATTTGTTCAACGACCTTGAGACTCAACGAATGTTAAGATACAAACAGCAAAAAAAAAAGGAAGATCAGATTTACTAAATATTTGGCTGAATACCACATGGGAACAGAACGTAATCCTGGCACTATCGGCGCCAGATACAGGGGTGGAACATTTTCAATATGTAATAAACACGCATGTAATTTGACAAAACCTTGAATTAAGCACTTAGAAATATGCGATTCAGTACATTGTGTAAATAATGGAATATGAATATCTGTATAGTAAATGATATTATCATTGAGTGTATATATACATCGTTTATCGACATTTTGTGAATCCAATAGGTGATTTTCCGAACAATTGCGAGATCTCGCGAGATGCATGAAAGACGCGCGTCGAACGTCTGCCGCAAAAATCGAACGATTTGATTTTGAACTAGAATTTCTTTATTTCGCAGCTTACATTGACCGGCCGATCTTCGACAGAGGAATATTGCTTCCGAATACCCTTACTTAATCGAAATTGCCTATCATCAAATGTGGACAGCACATTATTAAGCATGGAAATGTCCCCGAAATACTTTCGCGTTTGTCGAATCCCACTTGATGTTTGGCGCGACTACGACGCTATGACCTTTGTTTGTCCTGTTTTTACGTTCGATTTCACGCATAACGCGTGATTCTCGCAGTGAACGTAAAATGGTCTATTACACAACCGTCACACTTCATATCACTGTTGTTTCAGTGACCACTTCATTTTATATCCCGTTGAATGCACATGTTGTTCATTTAACTGCAAACTGACTATGCTGAAACGACTAGACAACATCGTATGGGAGCTACGCCAAAGTAATAATAAGGGATCCATTTCAAATATTTGCAGTATTTTGTTTGGAGGAAAAAGTCATCATGGCCAGATGAAAAGAAAGGTGAATTTGAGACCAGTCCACTTCCTCTGCACGACTATTACACAATAAGATTTGTATAGCATCCAAGAACAAACACTGTCATAAAGACTTTCGTTTTCGACATTGTGTTAAAGCAGAATATATATCATGATCAACTACTGATCACCCTCTCGCACTTCATTCCTGATCACATTTGCACTGTCCCTGACATAGCATTTGCAGAGTGGAGTACAAGGAAGACCATTCTTATGGCAACTATAATTTGTTCTTTTGCACCCAGTTTTACACCCACATTTGGCCAGCTCAATAACAGCTCGAGGGGCAGGTAGGCTGAGACATCTCACAGGAACATAACTGCCATCTTCCAAACTCCAACCATTTTGTTCAATAGGAGGGAGAACTGGACAGTTTTTAGTGTATGATTTATCCCGCATGGCAATGTAATTTGCACGTGTGATATGGGATAAGAAAGCAGCTCGTGTAGGATGTAACATGTCTCCCTCCAAGTTCAATGCTGATAAGGTTTTGGGACCTGTTGTACACTCTACAAACAAACTGTTCCAAGCTATTGATCTGTGGTGGCAGTTCACCATTAACTAGTTCAGTTTGAATAAGAACTTTACCAAGCTCCCTGAAACAATTGATGGTAAGGTCATCTTCATCGAGCTTTAAGCAGGCACCAACCCAAGTCTTCTTGGAGATCCCTACAAATGTTCCACCCCAGTCAGCTCCAGAGAAATTATGAAGTCCAATGAGCCCTTGACATTTATGAAGTCCAATTACTCGCACCCGTTCCAC